GGGGGAAAGCCCCCTAAAGCAAAAACCTCCAAAAAAAAAAAAAAAAAAAAGAAAGAAAGAAATGGAGAAGGGACTGTGACATGGCAGTCCCACCTTGGAGGATAATTTCTCACTTTCCCCTCCCCTCTCTGTCTCCCTCAAGAGAGCATATGTACCCTATGGCAAAAAATCTAAAAGAAAAAAAGAAAAAGAAAAAAAACTCACAGATTTTCAAAGGAAGAAAGAACCTTGACTGGCAGAGAAGGCGGAGACCTGAAATGGGATACTGAATCAAAGCTCTTTACCTTCCAAGTGTTGGGGGGCAGGTTCCCTGTTCACAAGGGTCCAACCCCCTGATGCCTCCACTCAGTGCCACTCAGGAGATGCTCCCAATAACCCATCTTGTTGGCTATTCTCCGACGGAAGTGGAGTCTTCCTTCCTACTGATGAGCTCCATTGCCAAAGAGATGGAAGTGACGTCACAATCAGGAATACTCTATTCGTAGGAAGAAGGAAGAGAACAGTGAGTCAGGAATGACTTCCACTTGGCAGGGAGATGCATGGGCTTCGATGTGATGGTCAGTTGGGGAATATGAGACAACTCTTCTAACAACCACAGGTTTCAGCGCAAGACATACAAGACTACCCCCAGAGGAGGGAGCTCAAAGGCTAAGCAACTACAAACATAGTCCAACAGGTTCAAATTAGCCAGAAGAGGGAAAGAAAAGGACAATGCAGAGGTAGAAAAGAGGAGCTTCTGTAGATTAAAAAAAAAAAAAAAAAAAGATTATTTTATTCAGGACACATAACTACATGTCAAAGATTCCAAATCTCTACTTTCACAATGCCTAGATCTATAATACTTTACACATACAGTATGATCCTTTAATGCTTCCAAAGTGCTTTTCTAAAAAATAATTACTTTGTTTAACTTTATTTATTTTTTAAAAATTTGACCAGAGAGGGGCAGTGAGAGAGAAAAAGAGGGAGAAAGAGACAGAGGGGAAGTGAGAAAGCAAACCACCAGGTTCAGGACTCAAACTACAGTTGGCTATGTGGGAGTCCAGCACCCTTCACCAACACGCCATCTGCTGGCCCTTCTTCCAAAGTGCCTTCACATAAACTATTTTCAGGTCAAAACAATCTTGGTCCTACATTCCAACTAAAAAAAATACTATTTCATAAGGAGAAAATTAACGCTGGTTATAGGTGCAATTCTATTTCCCAAGTCAGGAAATATTCCAGAAGGGATTAAGCTTTAAAAAAAAAAGAAGCAGCAGCAGTGAGTGAGAAAATTAATACAGAGTAGGTAATTGGGAAAGCCAGAGACAGCAGAAAGTAGGCTGACCAGATTCTCATCATTATGAAGATGGAAATAGAGGAAGACAAAGCTTCAGATGAGGGTGCTGAGAAAACTACTCAACCTGGGACCAGCATTAGCGTAATGGCTATGTCGCTGGACTCCCATGTAGTCGACTGCGGTTCGCGTCCTGGACCTGGTGGCTTAAAACTCACGCCTGGCGCGTGTGCGTGCGTGCCCAAGATCCCGAGAGGAGAATGGAGGAGAAGGGATTGCGGCATGGTCAACCCCCTGGGGGGTGATTTCTCGCTTTCTGTCTCTCTGTCTCTTTCTGTCTGTCTGGCGAGCGCACGTGCCCTACACCAAAAAACCTCTCCCCCAAAAAAGTAAACTACTCAACCATACACAGGAGAACGGCGAGTATTCAAATTCCTTTCCAGGACCAGTAGATAGTGTAACGGTTACGTGGCTGGACTCCCATGTAGTTGATTGCGGTTCAAGTCCCAGACTGCACTTTAAAACTCATACCAGGGGCATGTCCATGTATGCATACCCAAAATCCTAAGAGGAAACGTGGCCATCCCCCCGGGGGATGATTTCTTGCTTTCTAATTCTCTGTCTCTGTCTCCTGCCAGCGCATGTGCCCTATAGCAAACTCCTTTCCTCATTGGTACACGTCATTCGACAGATTAAGGGCTGTGTTAGGAAGGAATAAGATAATGATAACTGTTGTACATAAAACAGGGACCATCTTCTGAGTCTGGTACCTGTTCTCATGAGTTTGTCACGTTCATCAGCCACAGTGTGTTTAGCATGGCATTTCTAAATGAATCAAAGAGATAAAGGTGCAACGCCAGGCATCCTTTTTTTTTCCCCTGTGGTTGAGGCAGGGATTAATATGTTCTTCCCACTTCTCCTTCCCACCCTACCTGTAAACACAGAGGAGGGTATATATTTCTGTCATTTTTTTTTTTGGAGGTTTTTTGTTTTTTGTGGGTTTTTTTGCTATAGGGTGCGTGTGCTCGCCAAATAGACAGAGAGAGTCAGAGAGACAGAAAGCGAGAAATCACCCCCAGGGGGTGGGGGGATAGCCACGCCGCAATCCCTTCTCCTCCAGTCTCCTCTTGGGATCTTGGGCACGCACGCACACGCGCCCGGCATGAGTTTTAAGCCACCAGGTCCGGGACGCGAACCGTGGTCAACTATGTGGGAGTCCAGCGACATAGCCATTACGCTAACTGCTGGTCCCTATATTTCTGTCATTTTGATAACACTCCATTTCCCAACAACCAGGCATATGTATCTTACCTCAAAAAGTGCTTCCAGGAACCAGTGCTGTTGGTTATGCTCAGTCTCCTTCTAGTGACAAGTTCCAGATCAGAAAGCAAATACTTGCCTATGCTGTAAAAATCAGTCCTACTTCAATGTCTCATTGGCCCAAACAAGACAGGATTTTTCAAGTGAGCAGAAAAAGAGGAATCAGAAGACTTGGGTTTTGGTCCTAGCTCTGCCACCAACCAACTGTTCAACTTAAACCATGGACTCCTTTCTGTAATTCAGTTTTTTTATCAAGTAGGGCAAATGATACTGCCTTATCTACCTTACAGACTGTCCTGCAAATCAAACGAGATAACACATGTGAAAGCATACTGAATGCTGCTATCCTCAGGTAAGGTATTCATAGCAACAGAATGCAAAATAAATTGCAGCACTGAGGGCCAGAGAGGAAATGCTTGCAAGAAGTCCGTTCCTTCTTTTCCATTACTGGGAACCAGGCCCAGTGGGCAAGTAGTATTATTATGTTATTCCCATTCTACCCCATTCCCGTTTGGAAGAAAACCCGTGAGCCTCTTGCTCTATTGTCAGACTCTAAACACGGGGCAATCTTGTACAGGAAGAGAGAACACTCACGGACCACCCCCCAGCCCCAAGTGTAGCAGCCACATTTGCCGTAAGGTGAAGTGAAGTCAGTTTTAGAACAGAGGTGTCTGTCAATACCTTAGGCAAAATGCCCTCACCCCTCCTGGCTTTCTGCTCCTTTCCCCGCCTCCTCCTCCCTGCTCCCCAGTTTCCCTGCGTCCGGGGTTGGTTAGGCTTTCTGGAGTGTGAAGCGCAGGGAGAGGGCCCGGGCAGCAAACCAAGGGCAGGGATGCTAAGGAATGCGAGATTCTTTCATGAAGAGATGGGAGGGGGAGAGGAGCGGAGAAAGAATGAAAGCGGAGGAAAGGCTGCCAAAGACGAGCATGGGAGAGAAGCCAAGCTATTGGCACTTCGACGGCGGAGGTTCAGGTTCCACTATCCCTGCCCAGGCTGGCCCCCAGAACGTTCCCTTCCTTCCCTCCTGGTCCATCAGTTATTGCCCTTTTAAACACCACGTTGTTCCCGCAGGTCCGCGGCTCCCAGTCCTCCAGCCAGTTCAGACCCCCTCCCGCACTCCTCCAGTCCACCTACTCCAGTGGACCTTCCCCGACAACCCAACCTCCGGCCCCCTTTCTCACCCGCTGACTTCTCCCCTCTGCTGCTCCCTTCTCCATTTTTCATCTTTACTCCGCAGATCTCGAACCCCCACCTAATTCCCGTGGGACATCGCCCCCCTCCCCTCCCACACCCTCTTTTAGGTGAAGGCCCGCGCAGGCGCAGTACACACCGCCTTGGACGCGGACTGGACTCTCAGTATCCCGACCCGGGTGGAGCTGGGGCCGCAGCGGCCACTGGACCGCCCCGGTGCCGGATCCCAGCAGTTCTCAGGAGGGGAAAGGGAAGGGGAAGGAGGGGAAAGAAAGCTCCGACCACTCGTCACTGTCTCAGACTGATCCCGTGCCCGGCCCACCGCTGCTACGCAACCAGGCGGAAGCCCGTCACCAAACCCCGCCTCTTTGTTTAATTCGGACTTAGAATGGGAGCCGCGATCGGCCAACGAGGGCGGACGAAGGCTAGCCCGGCCTCCGCTCCAAACCGGAAGTGCTCTTGGCCCCAGCCAGGGCTATATAGCCATTTGGGAGGGGAACTCTATGTTCTGCTCTTCCTGGCCAGACCGTCAGGGGCCTAACCCGGGGGGGGCGGCCCTGCAAGCAGACGCTGCTCTGGAGGGGCGCACGTGTCTTGTGTCCTGGAGCTGATGCGGAATGCTGCGGGATCGTGGTTGAGAGGCTGGCCTGCAATGCCACCAGCTGTCCGCCCAGATCCTCTCCGGTTTGCAGAGCCATGGTCAGCACCCCGGAGCCTCCCGACCCTATGACTCACAGTCATGGGAATGGATTCTGCAGTTAACTAGGCGGCGGCGGGGTGGAGAGTGGGGGAGTGCCTGGCCGCAAAGCTTTGATCTGCGTGTCCACCTCTCTCCCAGTCCCACTCCTGCCGAAACCACAATGGCTCTCCGAATACTCGTTTACTTCCCTGGAACACCTAAAGGAAGAGAAGAAAGAGAAAATGTTCCTTTTCCTAGGTCGTGGTTTGATTTCTATAAGGTTACCACACCGTGGTTGAGGGTGTAGAAAACCTGGGCTCAGAGAGAGGTGAAGGTGAAGCCTAAAGCGCTCGGTAAAGAATTAAGCAAACCAGGCTTTACAATTACGGTGACCTCTTAGGCTAATCTGGTATTAAATGGTATTTGTCATGGATATTCGCTAACTGATGCGAGTGTACATTAACATAACTGAGTGATTAGTTTATTCACAGTGCAGAGTTAGCTAACTACCTTTCGTTGCCTGACAGGTCCCAAAGGGAACTAACTACAGTTTAGGGCCACCTCTCTTTTCTGTCGGGGATGAGGGAGAGGGGGAGACGCAAGAGACTCAGATCGAGTGAAAGAAGGGCAGGAAGAACAGGTGCTTTGCGAACTGTGGGAGAGATTTGTGCAAACATTGCTCTCTATGCCTGGGTTCCATTTCTCTCAAAGAGGGTGAGTCGGCTAATAATTATCTCTGGTGTGAATGCCACTTTTCACAGTCCCTGACCGAACTGGGTAATGCATTGTAGATGAGGGTTAGAGCAGTGGTATTTATATATGTCCATTGTGTGGCAGACACTGCTTTTGTGGTTCCTTTTCTGTAAAATGGAATTGCATATTTAAGACTTATCTAGAAAAGAAGTGAAGTGCTGAACCCGAATTCAAACTTCTGTCTGCAAGATTCTGGAGCCCTTGGTCCTTTTCCCACTGTCACTCCTAAGAGAGAAATAAAATCTTAAGCGTCTAAGTACTTTTTCCCAGCCAAGTAAAGGAAAATTGGGGCACGACGCACCACCTGGCGGTCGCTCTTTTCTCCTGCGCAGCCACCTCGCTCCTAGGCTTCTTTAATACCTGAAGTCCGCCCCCTTCGCGGCGCGTGTGTCTTGAATCCCGATTGGCTGGTGGGGGCGGGCCTGGGCGGAGCTGATTGGCTGGAGGAGGCCAGCGGGGGGAAGCTTCCGGGAATGTCCGCAGTCCCGCGTTCCACCCGGCAACATCCGGCGGCAGCGGAGCCTGTGGCTCCCCCCCGCGGGGGTTCGGCGGCGTGCACAGTCCGGCCTGCTGGCTGGGTGGGTGGTGGTCTGTGGCTGGGGGAGGGCATGGGCCGAGACCTGGGTTGTCCGGTCGAGGGTTCGGAAAGGTCTGGCGACTAAGAGTGGCTT